CTACCTGTCAAGTGTCCTCTGGAAATTCTGAGGACAGGAGCATCCTTTGGGCACTAACGCCATCAACAATGGTCAAGTGACTTGCTGCTGGGGAGAGGGGGAAATAATGACATTTCTTTTTTCCCACTGTAATAGTTAACACTCTTGAGTAAGGTCAATATAAGGTCATATCAGAGCAGGGACCAGCACCATGCATTCTACTGTCCTAACACCGTCCATGCATCTATACTCATGCATACACTCAGCCCCATAGTCATAGGAAGCATGCTTTCTACATGTGTGACATATAATCTGTAAAGTCACACGAGAGGTCACTTAAGAACTTAGTAAGGAAGATAGTCTGAAGTTCTACTGACTCTACAGGACAGAATAGCAATAGTGAAAATTCTCTTTGTTCCCTGTATTTTCATCATGTGGAGCCCAAGGTCATTCCTGTCAATCAATACTCAGCTGGTACCAGTGATGACCATCAATGAAACAGGCCTGAGATCGATTCACATTCTGTAAGCTTTGCCCAGCTAACTTCCATGCATGGCTGTTAGTGAGAGGCTTCATGGTCCTCATCTCACCAATAGAAAAGCTAACACAACCATGATGACAATAACACAACCCATGACAGGTAAAGAACTTCCTCCTTCACCAGAGCCCCATGAAGATGCCTAACAGTGAACACTCACGAACCTTATGGAGGCATGGTCCAATCTACTCACCTTCTGTCTTTCTTCTTCACTCTGCCCTCTGGTTGAGCTATTTGATGACTTTATACTTCCCGTAACCTACTGACAGGATCCCCGACACCAACAGCATCCATGAACAATGTGTGTTTTAATTCAGCTATTTTAAGTTACTCAGCTGACCCACAGACCCAAGGCAAACTGTAGCTGTACTCTCACTCTTAACAGAGAGCCTTCAAGACCACATCAAGAAAAATACAGCACTAAACTGTTTGTCAAGCTCTCCCACATATACTCCTACATTATAATTTATCTTGAACAGTGAAGCTTGTCTTGACAATTCTGTCTATCTTCCCTCCCCATCTTCTGGAGTTCCTTATACTGTCTCACCTAACAAGCAGTAATAGGGGTCTGTGATCTGCCACTCTGGAGCCTAAGCAATGCTGTACAACTCCTGAACACAAAGGGCTGGTAACTAGCTTACCTATGGTTAGCATACACAATTGTGTTTGGCCTAAGAGAAGAGAGGTGATGGCCCAATGTGCAATGGCCAGATGCCAAGCAGGATAAAGCACTGTTAAGAGTTTCTTGCAGATGAGTGTACATTTCTGCCATGCTGTTCCTCAGAAGGCTGCACAGAAGGACTGCTGTGAGTCTGAGGCCACTTAGAGCTACACAATGAGACCTTATTTCAGAAAAGACCACGAAAACAAGAACAGTCACTCTTGGTAATAAGAGCTGAAAGTTGGTATTGGGAACATTCCTTCTGAGACTCCTTCTGGGGAACAAGTAGAGATGCTGAGTGTGGGACAAGCAGACTCCAGTGTAGGAGCTATGGACACTCATCTGCTACTGTGGCTACTCTGAGCTAAAGGGCTGTCAGTCAACAGCGAGCAGACAAGCCAGATGTCAGCAGTGGCCATTTGGAACACTCCGTGGATTCCTTGAAAAACAGAAACAAAAGAACTACAGTTACAGATGATTGCCTCAGCTCTTGAAGACACAGCCAACCAGGTCTGCTAGAGTTGTCAGTTTGTGCTAGCACAGACCATGATGGATTCCAGATGACCCTGTAGCTGTTTCCATCTGGGACAAAAGGGGAGCACTTCGCTTGTTGGCCTAGAAGAAAGGCTGCTGTAACTGATGCTAAGGAGGCAAGACTGTGATTGGAATAGACAGAAACCTTTGTTTGCACGCAACCTCAAACACTTCTCCTGCTCCATAAGCAGGCTGTTCAGGCTCAAGTAGTGAATTTGCAGGGGACACTTTCCAGTGATGTGACACAGGTCCAATAAAAGGCTTCAGAAGTTGTAACTCGCCTGCTTTCAGTTGCATGGGCTGAGCTCACAAAAAATAAAGAAATAGAAAGATGTCTTCAATGGTGGCGAGGGTCAGCAGGAATGTCACTAAGAGATGGGCAGGCGAGGCGACCATGGCTGCTGGGCAGCAAAAGAGCAAGCGGCTGAATGGCTCAAGAATAGCCAGGACTGAAGGAGGTGAAAGGAAGACGGCACGGAAGGGCAGAGGCCCAAGACCGAGGATAAAGACTGCTGCAGGACCACAGGGATACGAACTGTGGAGCCTGGTCACTGGGAGAGCTCCAGAAAGCTACTAGGTCTTTATAAGTAAGAACTGTAACACTAAGGGCTAAGGAATCCTGACTGCCAGGTCTAAATAAGAGCCCTAACACTGGCTGCATCAAGGACACAGGAATCCCCACTTCAGAGGCCTACATAAAGACTGTTAACACTAGAGGGCGCCACCCACTCTCAAATACCCAGGGAAATATGCTGCCTGCACCACCTCACCTACCTACAATTTTATCTGGACAGATTGAAAACAAGAGGGTACACAAAAAGACTCTTGGCATTGCACTATGACACAGAAGGCTGTCCATACAATAGTTCTTAAACCAGAAAGTCATTCAAGATGGATCTCAAGGCTGGGTGTGATGGTGCATACCTTTAATCCCAGATCTCAATAGGCAAAGCCAGGCAGCTCTCTAGGAGTTCGAGACCAGCCTGGAGATCCTGAGACTGTGTCAAAAGAAAGAAGGAAGGGAGGGGAGGGAAGGGGAGGGGAGGGAGGAAGGAAGGAAGGAAGGAAGGAAGGAAGGAAGGAAGGAAGGAAGGAAGGAAGGAAGGAAGGAAAAAGAGGTAGGTCTGGAATTGTCTCCAACTTGGAGATGGTACATTCTCTAGGCTCAATGCTAAGCATTGTTCTTTCTGGTAAAAGAATTCAGTGCCAACATCAGAACCTGAAGCCTTATAGAAAACAACAGACTAGTTTCTCACACAGAGTGAATATTTTTTGGCATGACATAACAAGGTGGGTCCCTGTCTATGTGACTTCCCAGAAATGAAGGCAAGAGTTGTCATGCTTCTGATGTTATTTTTCTTATGAGGAAAAACATACATATCAATTAAAAAGCTATGTATCCATCCCACAAGTTCCATGTACATACAAAGACAAGATTTATATGTGTGGATTCAAATGCAATGTCACTTAATAGAAGACACTTATGGAACATAGATGAGACAATACTCAAAGAGAAGCACTTCCGCTGCAATCACCGACTACGTGTCTTGACCTGCTCCAAATGCAGTCAATGAGTTTCATGTTACGCTGATACCAGCACTTGTGTTCATACCCACGGTCTGAGGAAGAGCAGGTAGGACTGAACAAGAGCTGAAAGAGCATAGGATCACACTTGCAAGATTAACAGACAAGAGCATGTTGGCTGGAGAGATGGCTCCACTATCAAAAGCACTCACAGTTATTGTAGAGGGTCTGAGTCTGGCTCCCAACACCTACATCAGGCAGCTCACAGTAGCTTATAACTCCATCTTCTGACCTCAAAGGGCAGCCGCACACAAGTAAGACATAGAAACACACACACACACACACACACACACACACACACACACACACACACAATCTTAAAAAACTAAACAAAACACAAAAACCAACCAGACGCACTTTACCAAAAATTAAAATGGAGAAAGACACACACTTTCAAGTTGAGAAGTTAAGGATAAATCAACCGGTGTTGTCAACTACGCCCTATTTTAACTGACGTTTAAAAAAAGACTCAAATGTGAATGCCCTGATCAGCCAACTGCAACCTTTGCTATAGTGTTAGACATGGCCTTCTAACAGGCCATCCATGTAGGTCATTTCAAATTAGAAACTCTCCCTATTGCATGTGCAATTCCAGAGAAGAAACCACACTCTTAATCATTCAGATTTGGAATGTTCAAGGAGGACAACTTTTTAAAAAGAAGTTCTATAGCAATCTTGAAACTCTCTTATCTAGGTGGCCACATAGTCTTCCCATCTTCTCTGTAATGGAGACCGAGACAAACCATCATCATCCAGGGAGGATCATCACTTCCGAGTGAAACACACCATTACAGCACAGACCCCACTTCAAGCTGACTCAAGTCCATGGTTTTTACGGGTTCTAAATTGAAGTAGCAATCAATGTCCTCAATACGTAAGTGCACTTCTTTCAGGCTCTATGACTATGCTAAAGTTGGTGGTTCACCACTGTGATATTTCCTCTGTATTGCCTGTTTGTGCACTGGTTCTGGGGATGCTCCTCTTCCAGCCACAGAGGAAAAGCAAAGCATGCCCCACGCTGCTTCTGTCTGTAGAACTCTAGGCAACTGAGCAAATATGAAGGTCACCCAGCAACGAAGTGATGTTTCAAATTTGGGAAACCAAGTTTTTTATTACAAGTTAGTTTGCTAAAAACTAGTTCCTCCTGGGATGCTTGTATTTCTTCACCAATCCCGACAAAACATCCGTACAGCTCTTGGAAATAACGAGAGCTGATATACTCTACACAAGAAACTCATCTGTGTAGGTCTTGAACAGCGAGCAATGCCTGTGATCCCTCCAAAGTCACTCTAACAGAGGTAATCAACTGAAGACTGCAGTCTGCTACAATGCTTAAATTCTCAATGTCTCATCATCCTACTCCACAGCATTCCTTCTAAGGGTCTACAGTGAACTCAGAAAATGCTCATTCAATGAGGTGGTTTCCACACAAACACAGCTCCTTTGAATAACATGCAACAGTTCCATAGGGCAACAGTTCCATAGGAAGAGGGACAGCAACCCGGCTCTGAATGTGTATCCAATACACAGAAACATCACCAATACACCTTCAAGCAATTTGTAACGAGAAACGTGTCTGTTTTAGTGATACTCAGGCTATAGGGAAACCGACATAAGTGGGAAGTACACAAATTGTCTACAGGAAGAGAGCCAGTAAAGGTCAGTGAACAAGTGCCTGGCACCCACCATGCTCACTCTACTTACCTGAGGAGGAGTAGGTGTGGATGTAGGTCTTCCTATAGGTGGAGTGGGATTTCTGCTGCCACCACCAGACATAATCTCCTCTGTTATGTCTTTACCTCCCTGATTTGGATCGCGAATTCTTATCTACAAAGTTAAATAAAATGTTAAGTATAAATCTGGGTGTCTGTGTACCAGATTTAGATGATAAATTAAAGGTAAAATGGAATTAACTATCAAGTTTGTCAATCTCCACCCAGGACTGTACTTTAAAACCACAGAACTATATAGCGTCATTTCAAAAAATTGTAGGCAACAAGAACTAAATGTAAGATCAAGGAAAGTAGGGCTGAGCTGACTAAATTTCTAGGTCAAAAAAGTAAAATACCTATCCTTGTGTAAGATTGCCAAATACACTGATTTTACTTATAGAACCAGAGATTATCTTGAGAATAACAAAGCTCCTGAGTAAGTTTTAAATACTCTGAATGGTTCTCTGAAGTTTACTGACAAAACATACACATTTGCTATGATTGAGTATGGGACTTCACCTGCACTTAACTTTGTACACTTTTAAAGGGTGCTGGCTGCAGTGTGCTCTGTACACTGTATGCTTCTGTAAGGATGCTGGCTGTACTGCTAATGTGTCCAATTAAATGCCCAGACACATCATTCAGGCCAACTGAGAACAGAACAGTTCAATATTATCTTACGTCTGTACAGTAAGTTATCCAAACACCACTAGGAAGGATGAGGCAGATGGAAATATGCTGAGAAGGACTGCCATGCTGGAAAATGGAACATGGCAGAGTGGCAAGAGCTTCCTATGTGAACTTCCAACGGCTCTTCCTGCGTACAGATGGCAAAGAGGATGATGCTGAAATGATGATGGGGTACCTGGGTCTAGGATCTCACAGCTGGGACAGGTGAGGGAAGTAGGTTCCCGTCTGAATTGTATTGCCTGCACAGCATACTGAGGTAACTACTTTCTTAAAAACTTCAGAGAAGTCACTATCAAAAAACATCTGGAAGACTACAGGGAAGCAATTGTTTGTTTATTTTTCAAACTGTCTTTCTATGTAGCCCAGGGTGGCCTTGAACTCACTATGGAAGCCAGGTTGCTCTCAAACTAGGTCAATCCTCCTACCTCAGCCACCCCAGCGTTCAGATAATAAGTGTGTGCCAACACACCCAGCTTTCTCTTCTCTTATTAATGGCATTTATCATCACTACCTTCTAGTTCCGATAGCACCATTTCTTTCTGCGTTGCAGAATGCTACTCAGTAAACTTTACTGCACGGACGAAGCACATGAAAGCTCCGTTTCTTGCCTGCAGTGTCATGCTAAATTGGAGTGTTCTGTTTACTGTGACATACTCAAAAGTTATTTGTTTCTAGCCAAAGCACCACATTTGAATCCTTTCATTTGTTTTAAATAAGAGTACTTTGGGAGCACTGGGCAGTTCCACTCCACTCTGTAGGGCCTGCGTATCTGTGGGAATCACCTATTGTGTATGTTCTGTAGGGTAAAACACTGGAAGGCAATCTTCTACAAAACACTCTGCAATTCCCATTTTATGTCACTGTGCTCCTAGGCTCTTGAGTGTGTATTATTAGACAGAGGGAACAGCCTTATAATGTATGTAAATAAATATATTTACTAAATTCTGCTTTGTGTTTCTGTCTTCCCCCTCCTGGTGACTCTTTGGGATTCAAGCTACTTTTACTTTGGAGCTACTGTTTCCTTCTGGCATTTCAAACTTGATCCTCAGCACTGCAGCAAAAGAGAGCCAGGATCTGAGAAAGGAGCCAAGGGTACATTCAAACATGCAGTATGCCTGGCTGGGAAAACATGACACTAAGGGAAAGGGGATGCCGTTTCTCGCCTGGTGCCCATATAAATACTCTAGGCTGAGGGGATGCCGTTTCTCGCCTGGTACCCATATAAACACTCTAGGCTGAGGTGAGAGATGGTGATACAAGGGAGAAGAAGAAATGGCGCGGTCACTTCTGTGAACTCAAGTTAATAATGATTGGATAAGCTTATTTGAGAAATGATTATATGCCCCAATTTATGACAAATCAATGAAGATCTCTTACAGTTTTTTTCTCTCTCTTGGCGGGAGGGGGCTGTTGCTGCGTAGGCACTATGATAGGTGCTGACTGATACACTGGCTGACTTGGGTAAAAAGGCGTTCCTAAGGAATCAGAACAAAATGAGAAGCATTCAGTTATTTGTCAAACACTACAGGCCTGCAATGGCACGGAGCCCCTGAACAAGCTCTTGGGGAAATGAAAGCAAACTACTAAGGATTCCTCTTCTTTTCAAACAGGGTCTTGACCTGCAAGTCAGATCCCCCGCCTCTGCCTCCTGATCCATGGGATATAGGCCCAAGTCACCAAAAATATGGGCAGCATTCTCAATCTCTCTCCTACAGCTATTAAAGTAGTAAAGCAATTACTCCTAAAATATATAATATCTCTACACAGTCATAAAAATCTAAATAAAAACAGCTCAGTGCCTAATTCCTGCAGAGAAACACAAGAATATTCCTTCTCAAACACGACCTGGGTTACAGCATTGTTTACAATTTTGGGGCCCACAGCCTTCAGCAGCGACTCCCAAGCAAGGACTCAAGTGACTGTCTTTCTGGGCCTTTGGTTTGGGATAGAGGTGACCCAAATTCTTCAGTATGAAGGGCCACAGTGGCAAACTGATTAGGTGAAGGGTCACAGCTGAGGCAGGTCACTGGTTAGGATCCCCGCAAGTCCTTAAGACAAGGGTTTTAACAAAAGATAGCTGAGAAGACAATGTCCCAAGAACAGCCAAATTCCAATCTGAGTTTCACTTTGTACAAACTCAAGGCTGTATCTCCCTTCTACCTGCTCCCTCGTCCTACTCCCATTCCCCATACACACTGACCACAATCACATCCAAGTTAATCACACACTTGGCTCATGCTTTGACTCTATTGCCCAACAGCCAAAATTATCTTCTCCTCAAATCTAGATATACAAGGGTTTGTTAATATCCAAAATATAGGATACTGTTCTAATTACTATCAAATCATGGTACATAGAGCAGGGGATAGAAGAGGGGAGGGGGTAGTGCAAAATTAGAAATAAAACCTAAAGATCGGCTGAAGACTGGATAATGGTACGGAAGACAACATATTTAGAAACAAAAAAAAAATGGTAAAGGGATTTTATGTTTATTTTGCCTGAGGGAGACATGTACCGTGAAAGAAAGTGCCAGGAACAAAAAGGTTTCAGTTTTGGAGATGCTGATTACTAGTCCCTAGACAGGCATGAACTAGTTACCCTATGTATGTCTTCCTAGGGAATCAAGGCAGACCTTGAACTTCCCAATTCTCCCATCTCCACAATCCCAATCAGAAACCTGTATCATGACACCTAGTTTATGTGGTATTGGTGGTAGAACCTAGGCCTTTGTGCATATTAAGCAAGCAGTCTGCCAACTGAGCTGCATCATCAGCCTCTAGAGTTAATAATTTTGTAATTAGTAAAAGCTTTGTCTGTTTTTTAAGAATAGTTGCTCTGTTTATCCCTGGTTGTCCTGAAACTCTCGCTGTAGATCAGGCTCAAGATCCATCTGCCTCTGCCTCTCAAGTGCTGGGATTAAAGGAGTAAAGGCTTTTGTAATGAACAACATCAGAACCCTGAGACTAGATAAAACAAAAATGTGCACAGATAAAGAAGCCCAAGATGACATCTTTGTCAGAGGTCACAAAAGCAAGAAAAACCTGCCAGGAGGGAAAGGAAAACAAAGGCAAGAGAGGCAGGTATTCAAGAATGAGACAGGCATGGGGATTGGATGGGTGCATGCTGTCATCCCAGCACTCAGAAGCTAGGGGGGCAAGATCCTGAGTTCAAATCCAGCTTGGACTATAGAATAAAATTTTGTCTCAAGAAATCAAACAGATGAACAGAAACAGAAGATCGGGTAGCTTTGTGAGCCTGAAGGCTGGGCTAAGCTGTCAAAGCTGAAAGCATCCTGTCCAAAGTTGCCTGGAGATAAGGTTTGACAGGGACTAAGAAGAAAGACAGAGAAGATTGTAAAGATAGACACCTGACACCCCCCCCCTTTTTTTTTAACTCCTTAAAAAGTTTGCTGAGCTATGCAATGGTGGTACACAAATTCAATTCCAGCACCTGGGAGGCAGAGAAGTAGGCAGGTCTCTGAATCCTAGGTCAGTTTGGTCAAAAACTTCCAGGCCAAACAGGGCTGCACAATAAGACTGTTGTCTTTTGTTGTTGTTTTTTAAGACAGTGTTTCTTTGTGTAGTCGGGAACTTGATTAGTAGACCAGGCTGTCCTCAAACTCAGGGATCTGCCTGTCTCTGCCTCTTAGGTGCTGGGATTAAAGGAGTACACCAGGACAACCAGGCTAAAACTCTGTCTTTTAAATTTGATGTTTGCTTAGAAAAGAAACACAGAAACAAGGCCATCACTGTGTGATTGTTAAGTATTGGATATAAAGGCTATGTCCTCCCTGGTGACTAACCCTAAGGCAAAGCCTGAACGTGACACTGCAGAAAAGAGAGACGGGTGAGAACACCACCCTTGGATGATTTGGATAGACCGGGTTCTGAGGCACAGGAAGGAACATCTAATGTCATCGCGCTGTAATTGTCTCCAAATGTAGCTTCCTGGGAGCTGTGCAAGGTTCTTTGGGTATCTGTGGCATCTGGTGAAGTGGTTTGGAAAAGTTCTAGGCAGAGAGTTACAGAAAGTTCAATGGGAAAGAAACGCTTCTGCTCCCCTCCTCCCCCTACGGCAAGCACACATCACTGTTCATACAGACTCAGACCAACAGTTCCAAATCATCCTGGCAGTCATCACCTCCTACAGAAGACAAACCCACAAACTGGTTTTAAACACTGTTGGACCAGCACAGGCTGCTCACTGGGCCAGACTTCCCAGGCGAAGAGAAATGAAATACAAAAGGTGACACTAGTGAACAGAACAGAGAAAGCTGCTTTGTCACATATCCACCAGACAGCTGATCAATCCACAAGGTACAAACTGCCAATCTCAGCACAGGGTAAGCAGAGACAATGAAACATGGAATCCTGTCAGCTATGGGTACCAGTAGAATGGGAAACTGCACCAGATGACAATTCATTTAAAAACTAACCCAAATTCTGAGACGGCCAAGAATACATAGGAACATATAGCTATTAAAAATGAGAATATTTATCACTTTAGTTCACATCTCTTGACCTCAAGGTTCTTGAGTGGGAAACAAGATAGGGTTGCTCAGAACAGGAGTCAGTCAGCAACAGCCTAAAGGCAAAGTCTACCTATTTTATAAATAGGTGCTATACTGAAGACACCTCTGTCTAGTAGCATTTACTATCTGCAGCAGAGATGCCTACCACCTGGTCCTTCCCAGACAATCCCAGCGGTTATCCAAACCAGGCCACATGAAGAGTTGAAACAATGTGGGCAAAACTCACGTACTAAGAACCACGAAATACAAATATACATTTCTCTGGGACAGGGGCTTTGCTGGCCTGGAATCTGCCTATGGAGTGCTGTGATTAAAGACATTTGCTATTAAACCCAAACCTACCTACATACTCTTAAAGGTTGCTCAACTTGAGATCTTTATAAATAACTTGCTATTTTTAAATTACTTCTACCTTCTTGTTTAAAGCGTCTCCCAATATAAAATAATAGTGACTACAAATAGCATTTTTTTTGTAAAAAAGCTCTTACTGGCAAAATTAACAATGTCCTAATCCTATATTGGTTCAGCTTTTATTTTAGGAATGTAGTCATTTTACTTGCCTAGAATACTGAAAGCTGTTGGAATTACTGATGCACTCATACTCAGTATTTAAGGTTTGATCCTCTTGGTAGAATTCCAAGCATAACAACCTGATGTGTACTGTGAGATGCTGGAAGACACAAATATCTTGATAACTGTATTCTTCAAAATACCTAATACATCATAATTCTGAAAAAAAAAAACTAGGAAATTTGCACTGGCCTTAGACATGGAGATAATGTAGTGATTAAATATCCAGCTTGGCACAACTGCAAAAGAAACGTAATTTTACCTCATAATATACTCAGAAAAAGTTATGCCACTATACATCAACATCCCAAAACTCAGAACTTTTTGCTGGAAAACAAAACAAATGCCTCTTGGGAGCCTGGTTTCCCCACACAAAGCACAGCTCCAATGCACTCACAGGTTCCCAAACGATGAGCCAGAGCTCCTCAGTGGCTCAGGGGAAAAAAGGAAAAGTACAGAAAGGCGAAGAATACAAGGGGAAGACTAGGCTGAAGTTGCAGGAGCAGGGCCAGATAGAGGGCAAATTCTCTTTCATCACCTTTATCAATATTACTACTATCACTAACCATATATACCCTCAAGAATCTAAAATCTCTGCCAACATGGGACATCACTACCTAAGGTTGGCATGAGTGTTCAGTACCCTACTTACCTAAAATTTTTTAAGAACTCTTCAAGAATTATACCTTTTCTGAGGCTGAGGAAAGAGAATCATAAACCTGGAACCAAGCCACTAAGGCGCTGGCTGAAAATCCAGCTTTTCAAAAGGGTGGGAATGTAACTCTATGAGAGAACACATACCTAAGATTTCCTCCTGGGAGACAGGGCTTGGACAATGAGAAAGAGATTCAAAGAAGGAGAGGGAAAGATTGCCACAGCCTCACCAGGAGATGCGTGAAGCATCTATAACTAATGTACCAGAACTCTGAATCATGATGAAGCACATTAACTGATAACACATTTTTTAAAAGTGTCCATCCCAAAGATGAAAGAATGTGAGCAGAAATGCAATGTATGACTCATTCTAAAAATAAGACTATACTATTTTTAAAAGAAACAAATAATTGTGGCTTTTTTACGGTGAAGAAGGAGGGCAAGATCGCTGAGAGAGGGTCCTGCCAACAACATGCCTGATAACCAGATGCCCAGAGTACACAAAGTGGAGGGAAGGAGCCACTTCTGCAAGGTGACCTGTGTCCTGTACGTGCGTGCACACGCATACACACACACACGGGGGGGGGGGGAGTCTTCTAAATACCCAGCAATTTTATGATATTGGAGACAGTTAAGTGCCCACTGGAAATAAATGGAAAGGAAAGTAGCACACTGTTCATGTTTTTTCTGAGCTACTGTAGCTTTCTGCATTCTATTCTTTGAATTCTCACCACTATCTTGGTTACTTATATAGTGAAATAAGACCATTTCTCATGTAGGAAACTATTTTAGAACAGATGATGTTCTGCCTACAAGATGGATATAGAACATAACCAATAATTTATTTGTGGGGAAGGGATCCCTCAAAAGGAACAGATGTCAATCTATCACACCTGAGTTGAAACTTCCTATCAACATAGAGCTGCTTCATAAAGAAGAATATAGAGTACTTAGAACAGAAACAAAAGCCAGTTTTTTAAAAGATTTATTTATTATGTATGCCATGTTCTGCTGGCAAGCATGCCTCCAGGCCAGAAGAGGGCGCCAGATCTCATTACAGACGGTTGTGAGTCACCATGCGGTTGCTGGGAACTGAACTCAGAACCTCCGGAAGAACAGTCAGTGCTCTTAACCTCTGAGTCATCTCATCTCTCTAGCCTGAAAAGTCAATGCTCTGATGCTGTTTTGTTTTTAATTTTTAGAGAAAGTGTAGTCCTGGCTATCCTGGAACTCATTCTGTACTCAAGGTTGGCCTCCAATTTGGAGATCCACTGCCTCCGCCTCCTGAGTGCTGGGATTAGAGGTGTGCCACAATGATCACCCAATTAGAAAAGTCAATGTTTAACATGGTAGATTGGAAGCTACATATTACTTCTGTCCTAGTTCCCATGTATGATTCAAGAGTCATACTAAGAGCAATAGTACTAAAAACAGTTCTGTCAGTCAGAACACAATCCCTTTGCAACATGGAATTTAAAGGAGTGTTAAGTTTATCTGTTTACTCTGAAAATCTCAGTTTTCTAATTAGAAGATAATGGATAACAATATTTATTGTAAGAATACAAGTTTTTTTTGTTATTTATTTATTTGTTGTGGTTTTTCGAGACAGGGTTTCTCTGTATTGTTTTGGAGGCTATCCTGGAACTCACTCAGTAGACCAGGCAGGCCTCGAACTCACAGAGATCCTCCTGCCTCTGCCTCCCGATTGCTGGGATTGAAGGTGTGCGCCACCAACGCCCAGCTTTTTAAGAATACAAGTTAACAAAGCTGATCTATATACTTGAGAAAGCCCTTGAGGTTTTAAGATTTTATAGATTATATGACAAATCATGTTTAAACTGTGCCAAGAGGCAATAATGACACATGAAATGGAAAGGTTTTACACTGTAAGATCCTTACCACCAAAAAAGCTGGAGTTCCCCTAGTACAAGTAACAAAGTACAAGTACAAAGTACAAAAGACAACACAACACCACTAGATCCCATCAGTGGAACTCAGCGAATGGATTACTGTGTTAAGTTAGTCGAAGCCTCAATGCCTTTGCTGTGATATTACTACAAAAAACTATTGCTGATTAAATCATAAAGCTTCAGTTTTTTTTAGCATCTACTGATTTTACTCCTTACAGTTCAGTTTCTGTGGCCCGAGTACCATACACAGTAAGTGTGTTAAACAACTACTCCTCATGACTTCTGAGTTCCCTATGAACTCACATGCCAAGTATTAGTTGGCATTTGCCTTTGTGCACAAAGAACACATTTAAAGCTGAGGCAGGAGGATTCTGAGTTCAAGGACAGCTCAGACTACCCACTGAAAACCTGTCTCCCTATCTCCTTTCTCCACCAAAGCATTTCTTAAGATTTCAAAGCATTTTTATCTCCACCAATGCTCAGATCTTCTCCAGGACAATGGCTCTGCCTGAAGATGTGCAGGCAAAGAACACACTACTCCTGCCTAACTCCCCAGAGTAGCCCACTCACTGTTCTAGGGGCTTGGGCTATAGCAGAGAACAAAACAAACTGAAATATCTGACTCATGGACATTACATGAAATGAGGGGATAGAGTGGGTTAAGGATAAAAGCTCAAAGGGGGGGGGGGGAAGGTCAAGGATAGGAGGTAAATTTATAACATCAACAAAGCATAATAAAATGTGCATGACCATTGATTGGTGGGAGATGCCAGAAACCTGCCACATGGATTCAACAGGATGACCAGCCACTTCACGTGTTACTGACTATGTATATTTCTATAATAATTTCCCTTGGAATCCACTCCCTATAGAAGCTCCCCAGACAAAACAGTGGGCAAGTTGTTGTTTAAAAATCCTTCAAACCTCTAAGTGGCAATAACTAATGTGACCCAGCACAGAGTAAAAGGAGCATGACAAATAAGCAAGAATGGCTTGGCTTTTTACTCACCGTAAGCATTAGCAAAGTCCCCAGGTCCTGGTCCAGGATAAAAAGGCCCTGGCCCCGGAGGCTGAACTGGATACTGCTGTGGGGGCCCCACATACGGAGGGCCACTGTGGCGGTACTAGAAGAGAACACACATTTGCAGATGATGCAGAAGAAGCTTCTAGAAAATAAAGCATTGTGCATAGAGTCTGTCTAGAGGATATGAAGCTGTGCCTGTCATACACACTCAAATGCTTCCTTGCCCATCAGAGACAGTGATGATGAAGAGAGCGAGCGATCTTCCCTGGCTGAAGCCATAGACCAGTGCACAGCAGCCAGGCTCACTGCAAAGTGATTTCAGGATGGCAGCTTTCAATTACATGAAATGATGCCACAGGAAAGATGATATTGGGAAATAATTTCTCCATCAACTTGCAAATTTGTGTAAGAACCTCTGTATAGTTTTATGAAAATTGACAAAAAAAGGATAGACTTGCAATCTTTAATCTTTAAGCTCACAGGCCACTAAAATCCAGGCTATCAATCACTACCTCCTCCAAACCCCCATTAGAACCCAGGCTCTCCCTTTACCTGTGGTATACAGTACTGAGGCCCCTGGGGCACGGGGTACGGCATAGGCAGATGGTTAACCATCATGATGTGCTGATTGGCCTGATACACGGCAGTGGGAGTCTGTGCACCAGGACGAATGGAAGGACTGCTGTTTGGGATGGTAGCTCTGGGAGGCTGGAGTTGAGGCCTCTGGAAAAACTGGGAGAGGGAGAAAGAATGTTTGTTTTTTCACAAAGGATAATATATACATGGAATGTCTTAAGTTTTCTCCTTCCCTCCCACTACTAAACTGTTCTAAGAGATACAATATGTAAAAGACAGTAGGTTGTCTAATAACTAAGTTCTTAAAATATATTCCAGACTGAATCAGCTTCTGATCAATGTCTCCAGACAACAGGACAGCAGGGCAGTCTCAATGCTTCAGCACCATCTATTCAAAGGTATAAGCCATGCACCATAACTATTAATTTTAACATCAACAATAAAAACAACAAAAGAAGTAACTGGCATGTCTCTTAATGTTCTATTTATAAAAAGCACTGACTTCTGAATAGAGAGAGACAGAGAGTGGCTCAATACCAAGGCATTAAATATTAGAAGTAGTCAACCTAAAACAATCCTGCCAGCCATTTGTAGGGTACTTAGGAGAACAAGAATCTCCACGGACACAAACATTTTCATTCAAGTTCATCAAACTAAATTAAAACCAGCTGTAAGGCTGTTCCACACAAAAAGAAGCCGGTCAAAGTGATGATACAACCTCACTCTAAACTGAACCCAACTTTGCTTTCTCAAACATTTTGCAATAAAAGGAGAATCTAGATAAGCTTCATAATGGCCTAAAACGAGCAGCGCTCAGCCCCCTCCCAGTGGCAGCCATCACTGTAGTTACACACAGTTCTCACCGCTTAAAGCTATATTCCTACAATGTATTTACAGTATGACTATTCATTAGCAACTGTATTGTAAAATAACAAGACGACAGAGTAGTAAAGAGGCCATGCAGAGTCAGTAACTTGTTACCTGGATGGGTCTGAATCCTCCCTTCAATGATGAAGCAAGCAGCAGCAGGAAATAGAAAGAAAGCCAATGGAGAAGCTTACAGATCAGTAAGAAGAGCAGGATATAGCATGCAGCTCAATAAAAGCAGCTTTCTGCTCAGTAATTGAGGAGCAGAATGAAGACTAGAAAGTAAGAATGACAATTCTCCACTTGAGGATTCTAGTACACATGGAATCAAAGTTCTAATTATTTAGTTGAAAAAAATTTTTTAAAAAATGAATCCAAGGACAAAAATCCTAGTAGCAGCTTCTGGTTATTTAACATCTTAAAAGAAAAGTGCTTGGGAACTGAAATACAGCTGGGACTACTGATTCTTACTTTTGGCTCTTAAATGACCAACTGTTTGACTTTGGGTTATTTTTCAACAAGCTAGTTCCTATCTTAAATAGGGCATTTAAAAAAAAATCAGTGGAGCTCTGAAGACCCCTGAACTGCCTCCTGATTCTGGACTGAGCATTCTGAGCACTGCTTTGAGCCCTGACCCTCTCAGGCCTTTTCCCACGCTGTGGGAAGATAGCCAGGTGTCCTGATAACTTGTCATGTTGTGTCACGTTGTTACAGCTGTGGGAAAACTGTAAGCTTGGGCCCAGCCCTCACTCCCATTCAACCTTCGTACAGGGCAAGCCCTAAAGAGGTGAAGCGGCAGACAGAAAGCTGTAGCAGGAGAATGCAGCAACTGCAGAATCCAAAGAGGGAGGCAAAAAGGAGATGACAAGAAGCTCAGCTGGCATCTTAGGAAGGGGAGTGTAACAGAACCTCCTATGCTCTACCTCCCCAACAGCACCATTTGCATTGGCTGCAAACAAGAAGGTTGAAATGGCCATCCTCTTTTCCATGGCCAGCAGACACATTCACACTTATATAAATCTGTGTTGTAAACACATTTTTAGAATAAACTTCAGCATTTCTATTCCACTGTCAATATATAAGGTGGCAGGAAAGGGTCCCTGGCTTTAAGGAGGAGACAGTTACCCACCTGTTCAACTACTGGCCCCACAGGATGTAGCAAGGATGGAGAGATCCATGCTATAAGATCCCTTTCCATCAACTCCAGGAGCAGTCAAGACAAGAAGAGCCACAAACCCACACAGGCACCATCTCCTTTGCTAGCTCATCAACTGACACACCCACTCACACCTCCCCTAGAGGGTCGTGTGATGGAACAGCACAGAGAGAAGACAAGAAACGACGTGGCTCACTTACAAGTGTATGGAAAGAGGCTGACAGGACAAGTCCTACTACATCCTATACGTGAGCAATTTTCTTACCCAACTACTCTGATGGGATTCTTAACCAGCTTACACAAAGTAGTAACTGAGATTACCTTATTCAAAAGAGTTCCTGAATAGTGCGTTGTTTTTTTTTTTCAGTCATGTTGAATCTGAATGCTTCTAGCAAAACTCCTGATGTACACATAGCCAAACCAACATAACACAAAATGGGTACTTATATTGATGCGACATTTTTATTATTGCAAGTTTGAAACTGGATAAAAATATATTGTTACAAACACACTGAGTGACAACAAATGAGCTCAATCTAGCATTAAAGAACCATCAAACATGTCCCAAAGCGTTTATGTAACCCCACCTCACCCTCACAGCTTGTCTCTAAGGCATGTGTGCTACTGGAGACAACACAGAAGCAGAGTGTCATTAGAGGGTTGGGGTTCCTCATTTGCAGTTTAAGTAGTTGGGATCTAGGTCAGGACTGTTGGCTGTTACGTAGAGTACCGCTCATGAGATTAAAAAAAATGATAAGAAATTTATCCATTTCAAAGTCAGAGAGGACTTGGTGGGACCTTGATCTAGCACAATGAAGTACAGCACATCCCTAATCATACCTGACAACGCAGAAAAATTCATTGATTACTTCACAAAATCACTGTCTCCTATTCAAGACAATCCCTTTCTCCTATCCTCCAGAATAATCCTTCCCTTTAAGGGAACAGGAACTTGTCTATGTCCATGTCCACGCCTCCCATGCTTTTAGAAAGACATACAAGTCAACTTCACTGCTTAGTACCGTACAATAACATGCTATCTTGAACTTATCTGTTCCTCTTACACACACCTCACAGCCACAACACATACACACATGCACATGTTATAGAAGTACAAAAACCATGACTCCAGAAAACACAAAATAGGTGCTGGGTTTCTTTTTTACAGCCCCTCCTAACCATTCCATGGTATATGAATTCTATTTGCTAGTGGTACAGGAAATATACATTATTTTTCAGATGAGTGGGCATGGCAGGAAACCATCGGTTATTAAAAGAAATATAAGAAACTTGGGCAATGAAACGTGTAACTGTTTCGTACTTAAATGTGTAAGACACTGTATGTCTTTCTTTTACTGGCTCCAAAGTATTCAGTCTGCATCAGCAACCCACTCATTTACTCTTTATCCCTAAAAACCACAGTTAAGGGCTGGAGATATGGCTCAGTGGGTTAGAAGCACTGGCTGCTCTTCCGAAGGGCCTGGGTTCAATTTCCAACACCCACATTGCAACTCACAACTGTCTGTAACTCCAGTTCCAGGAGACCTGACACCTTCACATAGGCAGGCATAAATGCAGGCAAAATGCAACAAAACAAAACAAAAAAAGAAGACTAAAAACAAAAGGAAACAAACAAACCCCACAGGTACCTCTAACCCTTCTGTGGAACTGACAATTCTCAGTTATCTGAAAACTGTCATCATAATTCAAGTGATCGGTATCATTTGCAGCCAGTGGCTACAATTGTGAGGGAAGTGAAGAGTTAAGCACCCATCACCACAGAAAGTTCTATTAAAGTGCTGCCACAGAGGGCTGTATCGGGTGGAAGAGAATGGGCCCCAGGATTCTGTCAGGAAGATCTACTCTGTGTGGGAAGAATCCAGACATGAACATCCTTTAAGAGTACTTCATTCCTAGTTTTATAACACATCAGGACAGGACTGGAAAGGTAGGTCTGTGGTTAAGAGCACTTGTTGCTCTTCTAGAGAATCCTAGTTCACTCTCCAACATCTATCAGTTGACTCCCAGTTACCTATCCCTACACTCACTCTCTGGCTCAGGTGGCTCATGTTAAAGGAGAGGTGTATCAGAGACCTTTTATTATATGCCAAATATTTTAAACCTTGAACACTCACACAGCAAGCCAAGGATGTTACTATCAAACCCATTTTTTAGTTAAGAAGGCCAATGCCCAGGATGCTTTGCGGTGAGGCTAATAAAGAAGTGCCCGCTGTGCTAACTCCCACCACGTACTCACTTCACTGCCCACCCCACCACTCTACAACTCTGTCAACAAGACACCAGCCAAGACACCGTCACCGTCATCCACCATGCTCAGCATCACCTGTCAGCACACTTCCCAGGCCTGGTGCCCTATTCACGTCTACTACACTCTGTTGCTGTATTTTCTTTTCTTTCCACAACTAAGAAACTGTCTACAGTAATACAGACATATCTCAACAGCATACTTCTCAGTAGAGAAACCTTCAAGCCTGTGATGGGAAAAAAATAAAATCACACGTCAAACTGGTTTTCACCTTTTAGTAAAACAAACAAGCTACAAGGGGTGTTCCTCTACAGTGCAGACACCCACCTCACTCGGCTCATCTTCCGCTCACACTGACAGCCAACTACTTCAAACATGACACATTAGTCAGCATTTGTCAATACCATGCAGACAAAGAACATGGAACCAACTGCAAAATGATTTTGTACTGAGAAAACTTTGAGATACCAACTCCCCAGTTTCCTCATAGAGGATAGGTAGGCTGAGCATTGTGGTGTATGCCTTTACTTCCAGCACCCAGGAAGCACAAACAGGATATCTGGGAGCTTGAGGCAACAGACCAGGAAGGGTCTGTGAGACCTAGTCTTTTATACGAAAAAGCAAAACCACAAACTACAAAAAACTAACACTTGATCTCATTGTGAAATCCAAAAGCAAGACCAACATAGGAACATAGAGAACTCCAAACCATAACTATGCAAATTTCAATAATCAAATATATCAAACAACTACCACAAGGCCAAGAGTTTAACTCAGACTGAGTGGGTTGTGCTCACCCCAATTGCACGTCTGCTCTCTTAGCTTATAATCATTTGGGGATTTTCAAGCAAGAAGGAAAGATGGCTAGCATCTTTCTAAAATGGCTCTGCAGACATCTGCTTCTCCCTTTGAAGGAAAGTGCAATTCTAAAAGTTCCATAGTTACAAAATTAAATAGAAAAACCCAGGCCAACCTGGGTGGTAGTGGCGCACACCTTTAATAGCAGCACTTCGCAGGTAGAGGCAGAGGCCGGCAGATCTCTGTGAGTTCAAGACCAGTCTGGTCTACCAGAGCGAGTTCCAGGACAGGTTACAAAGCTACACAGAGAAACCCTGTCTGGAAAACCAAAAAAAGAAAAGAAAACTGCATGCCAAAAGAAGCCCTGAGAACGCTGAGATCCAACAGTATGGAGAGTGCTTCAGGACTCACTGGGGCATGGCTCTCCTGACAGGGCTGCAAAGCTAACTCTAACTTGCCAAATACAGTTAAGGACATTGTAAACAACAGCAAATTCCAAGAAGCAGATTCCACAGCTATTTCTTGATTCTATTAAGAACAAACAAAATGTTTAATATTTAAGATCCTGGCATTTTCCTGTAATTCACAGAACCCCATTTTTCACAGGAAAACAAAAGTACAGTTTCTAACTACATGTGGTAAAGTTTTCTTTTCACAAGGATCCCTCAAAATGCTCCAAATGATAACTTACTTTCTCATTTCCATGTCTACTGAAACACTTACCAAGCCACAGCAAGGCACACCTGCCACACAATCATATGGAACATCCTCTAATGCAGATTTCCTTATAAAACACAAAAGGAGCCGGGCGTTGGTGGCGCACACCTTTAATCCCAGCACTTGGGAGGCAGAGGCAGGCGGATCTCTGTGAGTTCGAGGCCAGCCTGGTCTACAAGAGCTAGTTCCAGGACAGCCTCCAAAGCGACAGAGAAACCCTGTCTCCAAAAACAAAAACAACAACAACAACAACAACAAAGAAACCACAAAAGGATACAGATGACAAGAAAGCAACCACTGATGAAAGAGAGACAAATCTAACAGCTAGCCTCAAAATCTTGGGGTGGGTGACATAGGGGACTTTGAGTTAAGTTTCACTTGCCTCAGCCTCCTAACACCTGTCCAATTCCAAGGTTGATTCTTTCTTCTTTTTTTTGGGGGGGGGGGGCAGGGGGTTGTAGCACTCACTGGCTGCAGCTAGCACTCTGTAGCCCTGGCTATTCTGGAATATGTAGGCCAGGCTAGCCTCAAACTCACAGAGGTCTGCCCACACCCGGCTCCCAAGTGCTAGGATCAAAGATGAGCACTACTGTGCCTGGTCCTGAAGCAGATTCTAATTCTTGCTAGAATCTTACCTGGCTGAAACAAACAACCACAGGTGAAAAGTCATTTGTGGCTTCAACTTCAGCCTGAGGACAAAGGTGGACACATGCTTTCCTTTTAAATGTGTATTGATGTACTCTGACCTGTTTTGTGTGACTCTGCAATGCTATATCTCTGCCTGCCTCTCTCCATGAGGTGCAGGGACACACAGACTCATCAAGTCCCACAGGGGAAATGACACCATCTCAAGCAGAGTGTGGAGAACAAGTGGGGCAGGGAGTTCATTCTCTACTTGTCACTGACTGGCCGTTGGAGGCCAAAGATTGCTAAACATACTGCAATTTACATGATGGTTTTCCACAAATGATTACCCCACGCGTATTCTCTACAATAAAACGGACTGAACTGTGTCCCCTCTTTCCTATGGAGGCAAGACAGTAAACTGTTCCTCTAACTGACTTACACCATCCCAACACCGGTACAGCACTTCCTGCTGGGAAGCAGTGCTTCTTCGGTCCCTCCCTCTCTCCACAGTAACAACTGCAGCTGATGGAGCTAAGGAGCTGTCCTACTTTCTGTTTACAGTCTCAGCAGACAGGCCCTGACTACAATTCTCCTGCCTCGGCCTCCACCACTATGCCTGGCTTAGAATTCCTTATCCACTGAATTCTATGAGGTGTAATGAGAAGAATCTAAATGCCATGTGGACTAGGAAGAGCAGTCACCTGAATTTTTTTATTCAAAAGGAATGCTCTAGGTTTCTACACTCGCCTCCAAAAATGACCACGAGAAAATATTCTCCTTGAGGCTAAAGATACAGTTTAACATGGGTTCAAGCCCAGGTACCACACACCCCTGCTTATAATCCCAGTACTAGAAAGGTATAGGCAGGAGGGTCAGAAGTTAAAATCATGGGCTGGTGCCCTGGCTAAGCAGGTAAAGTGAGTACAAACCTAGAAACCTGAGTTTGATCCCTCAAATGCATGCAGAACAAAACAACTGCCTCCATAAAGTGTCCTCTGAGCTCACATGTGCACTATGGTACACATCCACAAATAATAAAAAAACAAAACAAAGAAAAGGTCATTCTCAGCTACAGAGTAGGCTCCAAGCCAATCTGAGGTAGCTAACCAATACCCCGTCTGACCAAAGCAAACAATGACCTTTCTTGCTACTGAATGCAGTATATGTGTATACTTCTTTATTTAGCAGCAGAATGTTTTAGTGGATTGCTTATCTTGTAAATAAAGTCTTATTTATTCTTTGAGAATTCCATCTTTCTTAAAGCAATTTTAAGAAATCTGATTCTTGTAAAGTAAGCATTGTAACAGGAAGAAAGGCCAAAGACCAATAACACTTCCCTAAGATGTACTACACAAGGGGTGTGGCTACTAAAGTTAACCTTATCTCACAAGAATTTCTGAAAGTACTTGTCACATACCTCGTGAGAAAGTTTGGAAAATGATTGCTCAGAGTCAACTGTTTGTAAGTGTCTTAATGCAGCATCCCAGCTTCAGGACCACTGCAGCTGATCCCTGGTAGCAGAAACACAAAGCCTTTCCGTTTCTGCTCCACACATCAACAACAGGAAGGTTTTCAGATTAACCATTTTAGAGAGACTGTCACTCTTTAAGTGGGGCTGATACTAGTAACATTGCTCTGGTTTCAGAATTACCCTCATGTCAGTAATCTGTGCTTCGCACCACCTACCAAAAGAAGAGGAGAAGAGCGGCCAAAGGCAATCCTAATTACTGCTACTGGCGGTCTTCCCTGAGAAAAACCAATGTTTAAGAAACACAAAGGTGAGTGAAGAAACTCAACAGTGCCCCTTACCAAGGAACTCAAAAGATGTTTTCCTTCTCTCTAGTTAAGTCACAAAACCCCACTTCTTTTCACTTTGCTTCTTGGCACAGAAGCCCCTAGTGTCTCTCTTATGAGTATCAGGTTTCATCCTGCAGAAGTGAATAAACTCTTAAAATTTATATTAATCCTGGAGTTTAAGGAATGGCTCGGTAGTTAAGAGCACTAGCTGCTCTTTAAAAGGACTCAGATTCCATTCCCAGCACTCACATGGTGGCTCACAACCATCTGTAACTCCAGCTTCAGGGGATCCAACAATCTCATCTGGTCTCCAAGAGCAACAGTACACACATGTTGCAGCCATATATGCAAGCAAAACACCCATATATATATTAAATAAGATAAATATAAAAACAGTTATATTATATATATTAATTATATAAATTCTGAAGGAACTATATTTTTAAATAGGAGCAAGCACATGCTCCAAAGCATCCTGACCACTTCATTTGTATTTCTTGCTATTTTTAACATTCTTCTTTCTTGAAGCATCATCCTCATCTTAGAGATGAGAAAACTGAGGCTGAAGGCAGTGAGTAACTTATTCAGAACACTCAGTTAATAAAGGGAACGAAACCTACATCTGGCTAGTGCCAACATTCCAAAGACTTTGCAGTAGTTTATCTTCAAGCTGAAAGAAGACCCAAGTTATCCCTGCACCCACCCAGAAAACCAAAGAAAAACCACCCATGTTATGCTTGGAACACCTCAGAATCTGGTGGTCTTGCCTCCTCCAAATAGTTAAGACAACATTTTAAGAAACAGAGCTTTGTATCAAATCACTCAGTACAATGAAAGCTTTTAAGTGAGGCGACACCCTTTTAGTGATAAAACTCTGAACATAGTATCATGGGTTAAGGTAGGAGGGCCACCTCAAGTTTCTTGACAGCAATATGCTGATTACCACTACTGACTGCGCATCCCCTACAGCTCCTGAGGAGGGTGCTGGCCCTGAGGCTCAGAAATAGGCTTGTCTAGGACAGCTGGTCCCCCGCAGCAGAGCAGGTAAATAGTAACCCAAGGTGTCAGACACTACCTGGGTTCTTCCTACTACACCAAAGAGAAAGTGTCTCAGCACTCCATGAAGTAAGTGCTAGAGTGGAAAAGGAGACAACAACTCCCTTCAGGTCATCGATATTACACACCTGCAAAGTTACATAGAACTGGTTTCTGTTTTTTTTTTTTTAAACTTTTATTTCTCTAATATTCTCATCTTAAAGAATTAGTAGTCTAAATCACTCAGATTAAATGAATTATATGAAGAGTTCTATGCAGCAAATGAACGCACCTTGTTGTTAATCAGTTTATTATGAAGTCTAAGTTAGTAATTCACAAGTGGCTTTAGAAATACCAGCTGCTCTATACATCAGTACCAGTTATACCAGACTGTTAACAGGAACCCTTAGAATGCTGCCTACTCCATTAGGTTAAATTTAGTAAAATCTGTGAGGACTTAATATACTTTACATTGCATAGTTGTCTAAATTCAAAGTAATCTTCGGGGGGGGGGATGTTTTAAACCTTGTTCTAAACATAGGCAAATGGGTTTGTTAAAAGCAAAATATGGTGAAACTAATGAAAAAACAAAGTTAACTGAGAATGACCAGACAGACTGTTCTTGGAAGAGTCACTAGGGTGGTCATACTGGGTGGCAGCATTCTAAGGGTCAGCAGACTAAGCCCCACACATTAGTCAGGGTGACAGTGAGGGCCAAGGGTACAGTACCTGATGATGGGCAGGTCGAGGCCCCGCTGCAAACTGAGAGGAAAAGGGAGAACAGACACAAAAGGAGAGGCACAAAGAGTCAGAAACACAACAGAAACCAAAGTTACACAATATACAACAAAATAAAAGATAAAAACCCACAAGAGAAAAAAAATAAAAACACAAAACAGTAAAGTTTTGCTGCAGGACAGTGACAGACAGGCACCGAGATCCACCAGATCAACACCACCACCCAGGTATCTTTTCATTCAGAAGATGGGGAAAAAGCCATTAAGCTATTAGCACCTGGGTGCTACCTCATAGGAATAGCATGAATAACTCCCATCCCCCAAAGGGTAGTTTGAAACACTAGGTGGTTGTATTTAAACATGAAGATCAAATTTGTAGCATGAAACTATATACAGTTGGAGGACACCAGAAATGCTTTTAGATTACAAAAGCACAATCAAAAAACAGACTAAAACTTTCTTTAAATTTAATGGGTGTCTAATACACAGGCTTGATGTATGTACATACGTGTGTGCGTGCGTGTTGAAATGCAATTAACTAGTAAAGCTGAATAGTAGGCATTTTAAAGCAAACAGCCAGTAAAGAGCAGTGTTCTCTAACATGATTAGTCAAAATGGCATTATTATAAGCTGGAGAAAAATGGGCTAGAAGTACAAGGTTTCAACTCTATTTGCAGCTTGGAGCAAACACTGGAAGTCCCACTGTGCAGTCTGCTTGCTGAGATACCGGACACTGGCAATGCGAGAAGGGGAACCTGTCCGGTATGTCCCGCAGTTGACAAGCACTTCCATTCAGCCTCTCATTTAGAACAATATCTTAGTCAGAATTAAAATAATAATAATCAAATTAGATAAGTTATCAGAGCAAAATTTGGCTCCTAATAATAACTTTAACTAAAAAGGAGAGAGAATAAATGCATCATACAAAGTCACATCTAGATGCTAAAACCTCCCAGGCTCAGCCTCAGGATATCTTCTTTATTGACAAAGAGAAAACTACTAGAAAGCAGTTCTGAATGCAAACCACACAGGCTTCTATTTGCACTACGTAAGGACTAAGTATCTGCCTCCACAAGCCCAGGAGAAGCAGACTGCAGCCTGACTGAGGTCACTCTTCTATGCTTAGCACTGCATTCATCTACAGCAGGAACAGCAGCTCCCTAACTCCCAACTGTGCTATCCTGTACTCTAAGTGTCCAACAGTGCCATGGAGCACACGGTCCCAGTGTGAGAGCTCACCGAACACATTTTTGTCAAAAAATCCTACCTCAGAAGCTACAATGTCAGTGAGTATTTAGAAAAGTGGCTTGATGGGCTGTGCTGGCTTGGGGTGTGTAAGAAAAGCCGCCAAATTTGGCAAACTGTTTTTTCAGAATGATGTAAGGTGGCAGCAAGGATCTTCTAGAAATTTCTCCTCTTCAAAGAAATTCAGGTTTTAAATTTACAGTTTTTCATTTATGAGAACAGAACAGATCATTCTTCCATCGTGGGCATCAAGTTTTAAGATTAGGTAATATCATCCATATGCTATGAAATTAGAGTAGAATGAGAGGTTTCTGCATGTCACATCTGAAGAAAACAGGGCAGAAGAGCCATTTCAAACACCGAGCTACGCACACAGGCACCTGTCTTCTCACTGTTCTGCAGAAGGGCCCCAATTCCAAGATGCTAATAAAAAATCCAGCTTTAGACAACTGCAAAATTCCAGTCAAGAGAGAACTAGCTTACAAAAGTGAGAGAGAGAGAGAGAGAGAGAGAGAGAGAGAGAGAGAGAGAGAGAGAGAGAGAGAGAGAGAGAGAGAAGGAAAACAGACTCTAGACTCTACAGACGCTAGCCAGTGTAGATCCCCTGGACTACTCTGCTACTCTGGACTGGTCCCCGCGGCCTGGGGGGTTTCCCTGTGGTATGTTACCAGTCTGACCCTATGGATGGCTGTAAGCAACAGAACAAACTGTAGTCGCAGCTGGCCCACGTTAAAAATAGAAACTTTTCTCTTAAAAGGCAGAACTTGAGATGGTGAGGATTATAGATATAAAGGAAAGCAGTCTTATGTGAACTAGAATACAGTGCTAGTGCACTGCCCCCCCCCCCCAGCCTGCTGTGCTCAGCTGGTAACTGAGTAAGGCCAACGGAACAGATAGATACAGGTTACTACAAAAGCCAAACTGTCCCCACGCGGAATAGACTTCAAGACTTTTCTCAGACCATTTAAAAATAAACTGCAGTTTGAAGAGCTCCATCACGAAAGTGGGGCAGAAGGCAGCATTTTTAAATGTGGAACGAGATTCTCCATATTATGAACTTAACTAAGAGGGTATGTGTCAACCAGCCATATGACATGAAGAGAATCTGAAGGACAGAAGGGGCACTCGGAGCCAGTAGGATTGAGAAAGCAGATGTCCAGGGAAGAATGAAAAGGCTATACTATGCATTGCCAATGGCCTATTAAAGCAGAAGTGGAATGGAATAAACTATTATTGCTCCACAAGCTGCAGGGCCCTCAGCACAGCCCCACGCCCTTCCTTGCCAGTCCAAGCAGCTGGAGGATGGATGAAACTAGACCATGGCAACTTGAAATGGAAACAGAAAATGCAATCCTGCCAAGTTTCATCCCAATCCTACCCTCCCGGCACCAATACAAACAAAATAAAAGATATCAGACCCAAAACAATAAGCAAGAGTAGTCTGAGCTCTGCTAGTCTTGCACTTGCTTTGGGGCATGTAATGGAGTGTGTTATGTGTGGCTTTGGAAATGTGGGTGGTAACGGTCACTACAAGAGGAAATGGCAAAAAAAGCTGCATAAAGGGTGGCATCTGAAGAGTTTATGACCACAGGGAAAAAATGGCTGATAACTGCAGACAATTGCCCCTTGATAGTCAATTACAAAATGGAAAGGGGAGACAAGAAGCCTTGAAATTTAGCTTTTAGGCTCAAATTATCATTTAGATTTAAATCAGAAAGAGATACTCCATTTCACATTTAAAATATGAGGAAAAAACATTAAGACCCAAATTATTCCTGTCTAATTTCCAATAGAGGACCCACCCAATTTGTTATGGTTTTCCCACTGTGCCTGGCAGAAACTAGCATGCCAGGCTGGACTTCCAGAGAAAAAGTGATCAGTGCATTTCTGTTCATCAGCCAATATGTGGATGTGGTCAGAAAGAATGCGTGCCAGAGGCACTGCTGCCTGCAAGAAGTACAGTTTGTTATATTGCTTACAATGCAGTATTTTATCCAGCCTCTTCCAGCCAAGGACCTGTAAACGGGAGTCTGTTCCAAAACCTTCCTCCTCTTCCAGTTGTCTGTGCAATGTATTGGCACTGTTCTGCTGGGCTGTCAAGAAAACTGGTTTAGAGATGCAGCTCTTCAGTCAGGTTTTGCGCCAAGCTCTAACCATGTAATTTCACTCCGATTGTCATCCCCAATCATTAAAATGGGGGCAGGGGAGAGGGCCACAGAGTGATCTGCAGTAAGAGCGTCCCATAACATTTCATGCTTAACAATCAGAACCAGGGCCTGATCTGGAGAGATCTCAGACCCACTCCAATAATCAAGTATCCACATCCCCAAACCACTCTCAGAACAAGACTTGCACCAGACGTTGGGTTCACCATTTCAGTGAAAAAGGAGACAAGCAAGCAGGCAGCAAGGACTGAAGCCCCACAAATCTAGAAACGATTCCTCTAACCTCTGGGGATGACCAGGATCTAAGAACAGGTGTTGGAGAAGGCACCAAGGGAGAGGAAGGCAGGAAGAGGTGAGAAAGACAGGCTGCTGTGTGCAGTCTAGACTCTCCTAGTTCTTTAAGCAAGTCTCCAGAACATTTCAACAATTCAAAATTCATGCATGAAATCAAATGAGCAGGAGCTAATGCAATGACCTTCCTATGCTACAAGCAAAAAAGCAGGGTTGGGGTGCAAAAAGAAGATCCCTGTATTCCAAGAATACACAGAGCTCAAGTACAAAGAGGGATGTGGGGTACAATGAGATGTTACAGACACCTTCTGCCCAAAGCTACTCATGCAGGGAAGGAAACGACGCTAACGGGTGGACAGCTGAAGCCACTGTGCATTGTGAAACAGGAGGATGACCTGGAGTTCATCTTAGTAAGTGCTGCAATCCACATGAGGGGTGAACAAGGAGGATGACTGCATTTACATCTGTATGACACTTAATGTACCACTGAAGAAATGAATACACCTGGGTGGATGTCATGCACGTGATCATACTGTCGAATGGTTAGAGCGATCTGGTGACACGTGTTCAGAAACACTACTTCCCACAGCACTCAAGTCTGAGGCAAACCAGTAAAACCCAATTTGCTTCTAGCATCGTTATAATTCACTCTTCTAAATTTTGAGCAGTACAAATAAAACATGAAGGACTTAAAGGAGAGAAACCTCAATGTACTGGATTGTGTAGAAGGAAGCTCCTGGAACACACAGCTCCACCCTCAGCTCCCTAAGAATGTAAACTACCACTGCACCTAAGTTGTTGCAAATGCAAATGCTGCCCCGTTACAGCACTGACAGTGTACTGGCAGTGGTGATGATGATGATGGCGCTAAGTTTTCCCAAAACACAGTAAGGATTCGCTAAGAGGCCACACAGAGGAGCTGCTGTACACTTACCGGAGACCGGGTCTGAGGTTGTGAATTCATTGTCTGAGGGGCTTGAGGGTAGACCAATGTGGTTGGACCTGCATTCTGTCCAGAGGGATAAGGGGTCTGTCAGAGAATGGCAAAAAAACATTAAAAATATGTATGACACAGCAACTCAAATCCAACACAATTTTTTAATGTCATAGTAGTGGTTTGCACTGTGATTGGCCACTCTGTTTTTAATTTTAACGTTACCATAATGTTCAGCAGCTTAGATCAATGGAGAAACATCTCAGAGGTTAGTGTGCACCTGCTGACAACTATCAGCAACCCAAGTCTAGGTACAAATTTTTCAACCAGGAGTGCAGAGGACCCATTGGAACTTCTTTATCTGCTTCTTATGTGTGCAAGTTGCGGACGAGGGGGCTATGGATGCAAAGGTCAGAGGCTGATGGGCAATGCTTCAGCAGTGACCCACTCTACAGCCAATTCCCCAACAGACAGAAGGTCAAACGCTGCCCTGAGTTCTTTCCTTACTAAAATTCTATTAAGTCTAGCCACAAATACAACAACAGGGCAGTTACCTGGTCATGATTATCACACACAGTCAATAATTAGATGAAACTGAACAAACTGATTCAAGGTTACCTTTTATCTAGCCATGCTGGAAATATGCATGGTAGCCATAGTGACCGACAAGTCAAAATTTTAGTAATGACTCCAACACATTAGCCAACAAAAGATGCACATGGCCAATGGAGAAGAACACAAATTAGCATTCAGGGACAAAGCTCTTCTATTCAGTAGTAACAGCACACATCTAGCCAGAGGTACTGTCAATGCTGTTCCCAAAGTACCTTTCAAATAGTACACTGCTCCCAAACTATTACAACATTGCCCCACTGAGAATTTCATTCCTGTAGCTTAAGCATCTGCTCTAACACACTTAAAGAAAAAAAAATTGAAATCCTTTTCCTTTTTATATATTTACACTTGCAGGCACACATGCACACAAACACACACAGAGCATACACGGACATACACATAGAAAGCACAGTGCCTGGTGTAGGAACACACACACACACACACACAAAATGCAGTATTTGGTGCAGGAACTCACACTCACACACCCAGAGAACACATAATGCCTGGTGTAGAAACACACACACAATGCAGTGTCTGGTGCAGGCACACAAACTGTTATGGGTACAACATAAACTAATGTGCCCTCAGCAACATGTGCTGTTCATCAGTGGCACTGGATAAGGAATTCTGCCAACAGCTCTGTCACGGGCATTTGTCCTGTTGTGCTTTAGTAGTGTAAGGAGCAGATGCCTCCATATCCTTATCTCTTCCCTACACTTCAAGGATTGTTCACGTTTCTTGATGAACTTCCTAACCCACTACTGTTTTACTACAACTTATACAAACGCTTCAACAAAATCATGTGTTTGAATGTTTATTTTTCATTATGTGAATGTGTTTGTGTGGTATGTGCATGGGTGCTGTGCATGAGAAAGTGATCTTAACCATGAATTTATCGCTCCATTCAAAACAACCTTTTCTTAGGTTTAAACTGTTTCTTTACTTTAGGGCATGGGTGCTCCTCCAGCATGTGTTCGTGTGTCACTTCGTGCGTGTGGATGGAGGTCAGGAGCTGCTTTTCTCCTTCCTCCACGTGAATCCTGGAAAAGGAACTCTGGTCACCAGGCTTGGCGGCGATTGCCTTCACCCACTGTGCCATCTTGCCAGTATCATGGAAGCATTCTTTGACCTGGCTTCATAACATCAAATGCAAAGAGGACTAGGGATAGATCAATGAAGTATAATTTCAAGAATTAGTGATGGTTTGATAACTCTCCCTTTACGATGACTGTGGCTTGAACTCAGTGGTGGGACAACTGCCTCGCACGTTCAAGGCCCTCACATTTAACACCTGACACTGCCATACAGAAAAAAAAAAGAAGCACAGATCAGAACCATCACAAGAATTTCATCCTCCCAGGATTACACTGACGCTAGTCTATTGTCCACGTTCCTAAGAGCCCCAGACCGATATTCAGACGTTCCTTAGTTTTGTGTTTCAACCAGCTTTGCCACATCTTGATAAATCGCTAACAAACTACAAGATGAAGAAGACAAGCCAAACACAGAAGGCCTTAACACTTATTCACAGAACTATTAAGCCTATAACAACTATTTTTAAATGGTGATTTTGACAGTGAATTCCACTGGAGGGTAAGACGAACAAACCTGCACATACGTCATAAGTCTTCAGACACAGACACATGGAACTAACACTAACATGGATCGAAGGTGAATTTTCTACTTTTCCAATGACAAACAGCCAACGCAGCTAACAAAAACAATGGCATAAACACTCACACGGCTTTCACCGCATTTCACATGCTATTTGCTCAAGATTTTAAACATAACTCAGAGATAAAAAGTAATTTCTTGCTTTAAGGTGATCTCTTCACCTTAAATAAACAATGCCATCTGGAAAAAACTCAATATTATGTGTGCATGAGAACGTATATGCACAGGACTTCTCAAGGGCTATAGGGTAATCTTCAGGATACTGACCTCCCTGACCTAAAATTCCATTTCTAGAAATACAGCCTAAAGATAAAACTAATGCTTTCACCAATCTCAAATGGGAACATTCTACATTTCTGAAAAAAATTTATTATTACTATCAGTGTTAAGGTGGAAGCTTCACCCCAGCCCCTGGCATCCATAGACCCAAAGAGTCTCCACCCAAGCCCACCTCCCCCTATCTCTCTCCAAACCCTGCTGCATCTCAGAAAGCCTACCCAATAATGGTCCTTCCCCCAGAGATGCTCAAGACCACTCCCACAGGGTATTTAAACTGCCTCCCAGAAAACAGACTGGTGGTTTTTTCCCGTCTCCCTTTCCTGTCTCCTCTCTGGCGGCTGGAAGGCCACCAGGGAGCACTGTATCCATTAAACGTGGGCCTTTTCTAATTGGGTTTGATTTGGTCTGATGTGGATTGCTGCATCATCAGAGAGGCTTGTTGAGGTATAGAAACTTTTCAGTTAGTATTAATATTAGCACTAGTAATGAAGTGACCAGCGCCCCCCCACCCCCCTTTTAGCAGCCATGACAGGCTAACAAGTGCTTGTGTGACCTTGCTGCTCCTATCATGGTCACTAGTCAGAAGTTAGCTGGTGGGCTGCGCTTTACTGCTCTGGGTGTGTTTCATGGACAAGTGCACAACAGTGCCGTGCAGAACATAGCAACCCCTGGGAGGGCCTATGGGCCATAACAACCAGTTGACCAGTCAACACAGGGCACATCCTGAGACTGATGCGTACCCCTAGACACTCCCCTTGTGCTGCCCTTTAAGATCCCCGCCTCGCGGTTTCTCATGGTCTTTCTCCAGTCCCCCTCTATGGTGAATGAATGAAAGGCCCGGGCTAATGGGGTTAGCTCGTTTAACAACTACAATAAAAGACTCTTTGCTTTCCCATCAAAATGGGCCTTGTGGTGATTTGGGGGTTCAGAATTTGGGCACAACAGCATTAGTATTAGTATTAGTTTTAGTATTAGTATTATTGGTACTATTTGGAAACAGGGTCTCACTATGTAGCTCTGGCTGTCTTGGAATTCACTACACAGACCAGGCTGGCCTTGAACTTACATTGATATGCCTGCATCTGCCTCCCAAGTGCTGAGAGGCAACTATGCCTTCGGGGGTTAGTCAATCTTAGAAGAATTAGGTAAATATACATTTATATCAACCATAGTGTTTTTCATACAGAAATAAATGCATGTTAAGGAAGATCATAGGTTCTAGGTCATTAAGGCTAATCTGAGCAACTTCCTGGCAGCTTGTCTCAACTTAGAAATAAAGAACAACAGGAGTGTGGGGGAAAGACACTGGGCCTCTATCTAAGGGCAAAGGCCTGTCACATGTATAAAGCCTTGGGTTCCATCCCAACACCACAGCAACAATCTTTTTAACTATCTTAACTATTGCAAGTCAAGTACAATAGCAAAACCCCACCCAAACATTCCCATTCTGTAAATCAGAAACTGATTACACTTGATAAGCACTGACCATGTTTTGTTTGTTTTATGTATTACGTAGCTCTAGCTGTCCTCCAAGGAGATCCACCTGCCTCCACCTCCCAAGAGCTGGGATTAAAGGCACCCAGCTCTAACCATGCTATTTACATGCAATTTAACCACTCAATTTAAATTTACTGGTGGCATATAGCCAACATTCTATTAAGGGCAGGTATACAAAGAAATAATAACTAGGCTTTATCTCCTGCTGTCAACATTTTCTATCATTACTAAGGGCTATCACTCCATGTGTACATTAGTTTCAAGGTGAATTCCACCGGAGATGAGCAGAAGAAGACTGCACAGGGGCTACACAAAGACTTCAGACACTGACACGGAATGGGATGATTTTCTACTTTTATGATGGAAAACAACAAACTTAGCCAACAAAAACACATAGCTCTTGCTGCAGTTCACGTGCTGGAGAGGTTCAGCAGTAGCATGCCAGAGACTGGCTAGCTAAAATTGTCCATCTTGAGAAGAAAGGATGCAATGAAGGAGGGAACAGCCTGCAGGATGCAGGTGCATGCAGCGGGCTAAGCAAGGCTCCCTTTACAACCAGGATGCCGAGGGGAAAAAAAGCAGCTCAAACCTAACTGGAAAAATTGTTGAGAATTCCCCAAAGCTGAATACAGACAAGGGTATTTTTAGAATAAAATCAAAACTCAATGGGCTGTGGAGGGCAGGGGAAACAGGCTCATACAGAGTACAGTTAAAACTGCACCGCGACTCCAAGGCTACGGAGCTACTTCACTAGGTAAAGCACTGCCATGAACACAAGAGGATCTAAGCTTGATCCCCAGAACTCAAAGGAAAATGCTGAGTATGGTGCCCTGAACTTGTCAGTCCTGGGGACAGCAGATTTGGGGGCTGGCAGATAGCAACACAAAACCATCACCATACGCTTGATAATAACACAGAATGGACACAACAGAGCTTGAAGGCCTTTCTATAAAGAGGGTGTGAGGTGAGGAAGAGTTTGTATGTTTCATTTCCAAGGATGGAGACTAAGAGTCCAGACAGGAGATGCTATT